TCCACATTGATACCATTGGGCTGCAGGGTTCCCAAGCGGAATATGAGTTGCTGTTCCTGCAACCTTCAGATGGCATCGTTGTGGCACTGCAGGAGGCCCAGGATGGACATGTCGTCTGAGGAATGGGAGGGGGAGTTGAAATGGTTCGCGACTGGGAGGTGCAGTTGTTTATTGCGAACTGAGTGTAGGTGTTCTGCAAAGCGGTCCCTGAGCCTCCGCTTGGTTTCCCCGATGTAGAGGAGGCCACAACGGGTACAGTGGATGCAGTATACCACATTGGCAGATGTGCATATGAACATCTGCTTGATGTGGAAAGTCTTCTTGGGGCCTGGGATGGGGGTGAGGGAGGAAGTATGGGGGCAGGTGTAGCACTTCCTGCGGTTGCAGGGAAAAGTGCCAGGTGTGGTGGGGCTGGAGGGGAGTGTGGAGCGGACAAGGGAGTCACAGAGAGAGTGGTCCCTCCGGAAAGCAGATAAGGGTGGGGAGGGAAAGATGTCTTTGGTGGTGGGGTCGGATTGCAGATGGCGGAAGTGTCGGAGGATGATGCGTTGGATCCGGAGGTTGGTGGGGTGGTACGTGAGGACGAGGGGGATTCTTTTTTAGTTGTTGTTGCGGGTTTGGGGTGTGAGGGATGAGTTGCGGGAAATGTGGGAGGCACGGTTGAGGGCGTTCTCGACCACTGAGGGGGGGAAGTTGCGGTCCTTAACCCTGCAGCCCAATGGTATCAATGTGGATTTCACAAGTTTCAAAATCTCCCCTCCCCCTACCGCATCCCAAAACCAGCCCAGCTCGTCCCTGCCTCCTTAACCTGTTCTTCCTCCCACCTATCCCCTCCTCCCACCTCAAACCGCACCCCCATCTCCTACTTACAAACCTCATCCCGCCCCCTTGACCTGTCCGTCCTCCCTGGACTGACCTATCCCCTCCCTAACTCCCCACCTACACTCACCTTTACTGGCTCCCTCCCCGCCTCTTCGACCTGTCTGTTTCCTCTCCACCTATCTTCTCCTCTATCCATCTTCTATCCGCCTCCCCATCTCTCCCTATTTATTTCAGAACCCCCTTCCCCTCCCCCATTTCTGAAGAAGGGTCTAGGCTCGAAACGTCAGCCTTTCTGCTCCATGATGCTGCTTGGCCTGCTGTGTTCATCCAGCTCTGCACCTTGTTGTCTCGGATTCTCCAGCATCTGCAGTTCCTACTATCTCTGTTTGAAATTTGGTTGTGTCAATTTTGCTGTACTTAGGCCAAGTAAGAAATTTGAAAAAAAGAGGATGAAATGAAGGAGGTGAGACTGGTAAGACTGAAACAGAAAAGGACAAAAATAGCCTTTAAGCACACTCGTGCATAATACTCATTTTATAGGCAAAACCAGATTTAATTTGGAATGTCAGAGAAAAGCTGCCCTTAAACACTTTGTTTTGCTGGGAAGGCAGTGATACTCTTGTCCCATTTCCTAGAATTCCTCCAAAAGCTAACCTTCATTACTGGTTTTACCAGTACCTGTTAAACTTAAAATTTTCAATTTTATGCAGTGACTCATTGAAATCACCATGCTAGTAATACTAGTCAATGCGGAATTCATTGATTTATCAAACTGTTTAGTCATTGTTTTATTATTCACCTTCAACAAATACATTCATAATGTTCTCTATGGGTAGTCAGCAGCAGAATGGAACACATATGCATTTTTTGAAACATAAGTTGAGTACTAAGTCCAGGACATCATGCATATCACCTGTGTGGCTTGACAATCCTACTTATAATACCATGGCCATCATGAAATGCAGGGCCTTCTGTTCTCAATTTGGATGTTCAACAATCATTGAAGGTGACAGGGCAAATTGGTAAGTCAGTTATAAAAAGCATATGGGACAATTTGCTTTGCAATTTGGGATAGTGAACACAAAATCACGGAAGTCATGGTAAACTTTTTCAATTACTAGTTGAGCCCTAGCTGGAGTACTGTGTGCAATTCTGGGGTGCCACTCATTAGTAAGGATGTTAAGCCCTTGACGAAGGTGCAGTGTGGATTTAGTATAATGGTACATGGATGAGGGAATTCAGTTATTTGGAGAGATTGTAGAAAATGTGTTTTTTCTCCTCAGAGGCTGAAAGGTTAAGGGAAGACCTTATAGCTGTCTTCAAAACTCTGTGTGTCATTTTAAAGTGACAAAGTCACTTGTCTTCAAAAGATTATTCTTCAGGGTCAAATAGAATTTGAAAAAGCATGACTGCTTGCCGTGTTGTATCTTATGGTTATCAGCCACCAGTGATTTGTGGTTGATGTAGTTTGCTGTCACCAATATTCTTTCTGTACTGAGTCTAATGACCTATCCATTGTTAGTTATTAAGGATAAACCACTGTAGAGTCTTAACCAGAGAGGTATTTGTTTTAGATAACAAGGTATAGTTTATTGCATGATAGTAATAGGTATAATTAACATTAACTAGTGTGGCATGATTGCAACGATGAAGATGGCCTCTTGTGGTGCATTGGCAGTGTCCCTACCTCTGAGCCAAAGTAAAGTCCCACCTGGTCTAGAGTTGTGTAATAATATTTCTGAGCAGTTCGATTAGAGCATATCAACTGTGTCATATAACCTGAGTGTATAAAGGTCTCATACTCCATCTTAACTAGGGCCACTTGAAGCATGATATGCTGATGGAAGCAAGCTACTGTTTGTAACCAAATAGCTACAGTTCTGAGGAACAAAATATGTCACATCTGTCTCTATTAGGACCTAGTGCAAGTCTAATTGCTTCTCCTTTCAGACATCATCAGATTGGTGGGACTCAATACAGCTCGACATGAACATTTTCAGGACCATTACCTTATATAGCAGAGGAGTGAAATTATATTTTACAGGAACTTTGCAATGGCAGTTAGAACTGAAATTGAAGAGAACTTATTTGCAGAATTATGGGCTGTGTGTCGAAATAGAGTAACTCTTTCAAATGAGTCAGAATAGACATAACAGTACAGCCTGGCCTCTCTTCTGTTATATAATTCTATGATTCTAGTTCACTCCTCTATGAGCAACTGTCTCTTCTTATTTTATATCTTCCAATTATCTGTAATGCTAAATGTCAGTTACTCAAGATTTCTTCAACTGTAGAAATAAGACTACCTCACAACAATCACAGATACCACCTCAGTCATAACAACTGAATGTGAGGTACTGAATTTGAAGGTAACAAAGCAAGGGGATACAAAATAGATAGTGGATTGCTGAGGAGTATATCAAAACAAGGACATTGGAGTGGATACCAACACATCACTGAAGGGAACAGAATAGGGAAGGAAATAATTAAAAAGGCATTCAGAATTTTTCCTTCATTGGCTAAGGCACTGTTATGAGATGTGGGCAGTTATGTTGGAACTGAATAAATTGCTAGTTAGGCCTAAGCCAGAGTACTGCAGAGTTCAGGTCTTTTTGCTGCATTTCAAAGGATGTGATTGCAATGGAGAGTGTACAGCAGAGACTTGTTCAGAATGTGAGAATGGTGAATTTTAGCTCTCAGAATAGATTGGATAGGTCAGAGTTATTTTCTTTGGAACACAGGATGCTGAGATGAGATTTAATTGAGAGCTATAAAATTGTGCAAAACCTTCACTGATGATATAATAATAATTTATCCAGACAATTACCACATGCTAGAACTTTTTGAGCACTAATTCAGCTTTATTAATAATGAATAAAATTGCAATTTTCTCAGGTTGCTTTTTGCCTATGGGAATTATTTCAATGAATATTTCAACACATTATTTTAATCATGCTTCTGCAACCTCAAGTAAGGCAATATTTTATAGTTCCAAGTTCAGTCTGCAGAGGGACCATAGTCATTAAACTGCGTGCTGTTTGGTTTCAGGTCCCATTGCATGATTTACAAGCCTTGTTAAAAAAGCCCTCTAAAAGGAGGCAAGCTGTGCATTTATAAATGTAATTTGATGGTGTATTTGCTAATGGTCTTGCTCTGATTTATGTGGATTGCAGTTTATGCTGCCTATGTGATTCCAGGTAGTTCAGTTTGTTAATACATGTTTACTGTCACAAAATAAATTCAAAAGGCTCTTTTTGTTGAAATTTAATATACATGAGGATGAACTATATATATAAAAACGTGCAAGTGGGAAAGTAGAGTATCAATTGGGTATTACAGGAAATGACATCCAAAATTGTTTATTTCTTTGTATTAAATTTGGCTTTAAATTTGCAATTGAAATTTTCTCCAAAGTGTACTAATATAAATAGGAAGAAATGCTCCACATAATCTGTAATATTTCAGTGTTTCAAAGTTTTCAGTCTTGTTCTTGGAATGTACAATAGAGAAAACAATTGTTTTTCAAAGCAAAAATAAATTAACTGAGTTGAAGTCTGTTAATACCTGCTGACTTTCAACATACTACTAATTACGTATATGTATGATATCTTTTCACAGTCAGCAAAATGATTTTTGGCGTCTGGACTACTGGGAGGATGACTTGCGTCGTCGACGCAGGTTCATACGCAATGCCTTTGGATCAGTACATCCTGAGGTCCTGTTGAAATCTTCAGAAGACTATGGTTAGTTTTCAATTCTTTTTCCTGAGGAGGGATTTCTGAGGCGAAAAGCAAATTGGCAATGACTGGAGTACACTCTTTGTAAAAGTGAAAAATTGCTTTATAATGCAAATCTTTTCCAGGGGTTAACTACTGCAGACTAGCCTTTGTTTTAAGTATATTTTAGCATGCTCATCAAAACATCTAAACTCTTTATGGCCATTTACTGTATTTTAGCTAAGAATGCAATGTTAATCCACTGCAGGGAATCTGGAATTTTACATTCGCTGAGTTGTGCATCCATACAGTTAACAGGGTAGAATTTTGCACCGCTGATGGACCAGTCTGAAAAGAAGGACAAATTCATTTAAATGAATGTATTTTAAATGCCTACCCTAATGCTTCATATTTGTTGAGGAATACAGTAAATGGTTGCTTTGTGTGTCAGACCAACTGAAAGATTGTACCAGGAGACAGTCTCAGGAAGGGCTAGAATATGCCATCAGTGGACCAGAGAATATTTTAGGTTTCATGAGGGGCATAATTGTCTCTTCTCATTGCATAGAATAAAATGCCAAGTTTCCTGGGAGTTATTTTGAGTGTCCTCTATCAGTCCCTTTAAGCACCATTGGCTAGGTCACACAACAACGTGTAACAATTAAGGGCATGAACACATTCCGCCACTTAAGCATGAATTTTATGATTCAGCTTCTATAGTTGGCCCATAGGACACTAATTAACATGTCTAATATCCTCATTCACCTAAAACCTGTTTTAGATAACTCCTTAGTCAACTAAAGGTCACCTGAATAAATACAGCAATGGTATATTTCCAATAAAAATTAATAGGACAGTTCATGATGTGAAATTGAGGTCTAATATAGAAAATTTCACTTCAAACAAATAGATTGGAGGCAGTGATTTCGATTTCTTTTCCAACATCTTTGTTTATTAGTTCATACAAAGTTTAACAGGTAATTTTGTTCTTCCAAATTAATGTTGTCATAAAGAAAATTATAAATGGACCATATAAGTTAGAACTGTAGTGCATCTCAAAAACTGAAATTTATGATTTTGAAGCGTGGAATTGCTCAAGATTGGGTTAATGTTTTTTCTACTCTAACTTCAATTAGAGTAGTTAAATACATGTTTATAAAGCCCACAAAATGACAAACAAAAGATCTCCAGAGTTATTAAATTACCATCCTCATGGTGATTATGCTAAGCTAACTAATTTTTTAGGTTGTCAAGTGAAAGGGATTTGGTTCAGCCTGCTGGTACACATTCTGCCGCTGGTGTTGGCACGTAATTAATAGCATTTGTAAGCAGTGCTCATCTTGTAAAAAAGCCTGTAATCTTTTGTTAGAAATATGCTTTGGCTCTTGTTCATGAAGACATCTGTAATTATCATTTTGTGGAAACTAAGTATCTGAGGACTCAATTTATACCATCAACATGGGCATCTAAACCAACCAATATTAGTATAATGTGTACAATAATGTTTTAATGCGGTTTCAAATTAATAATAAAATAAAACAAAGAACTGTGAATGTTTGAGATCTGAAACAAACAAAAACAGAAATTACGGGAGAAACTCAGCAGGTCTGGCAGCATCTGTGGAGAGAGAGAGCAGAGTTAATGTTTCAATTCCAGTGACCCATCTTCAGAAACCTCCGGAGTTCTGAGGAAGGTTCACTGGACTCGAGATGTTAACATTGTTTTCTCTCCACAGATGCTGCCAGACCTGCTGAGTTTCTCCTGCAATTTCTGTTTAAATTAGCAAACCCTATTAATGATCATTCCAACCATGGTATAATATTACATAAATATTTTGACTAATATCTATCCCCATTTCCTACACCTAAACATTTTTCAATCTTCATACTATCTGATTGCTATTGTTGGCTTTGCAAACAAAACCACAAAGCACCTTAATCTTGGATGACCTAACTTGCTGTTGTGGATTTTGAAAATAAAGTTATTTCCACATTTGTAGTATACAGTTTTTAGTTGTTTCATTTTAATCATTTGTTTTAGTGAAATGTATGCCCAGATGTTAAAAGTGAGGCAGGATTGGAGTGTGCTAAAACAGCAGAGACTGAGAATATGAAAATCTTACAATGTTTTGCAACTTTACTGGCACAATCTCCTTTAAGTAAAAATTCCTGAAGCCCAAGTCAACACCTACCAGATTTATAATGTGTCCAACAGTTGGAAGTTGGTATGGGGCAATCAGAAGGAGAAGCATTCTAGAGGTAGTCGAAAGAAGCTGATGTTACTGCTACTTATGATCTGCAGAAAGTTCTAACAGAAATAATATTTTAAAATTTATCCTGGCCCATTACAACAAGCTTCTGCTATCTTTTGCTGTCAGGCCACAGACAATGCAAAACTCCCATTGTGAAATTTGTGTTATGTGTGGCAAGGATGGCATGAATGGAAGAAATTTTCATATATCAAGTAGGTCCGGACATGCCTTGACCAAGATACTTGTTAATGTATGATCTGTTACCATAAAACTTTGCTGACTGAGAAAACAGTGGATTGGAGTCAGGATATCGAATCTTCAAATTTTATTCCTCTGCTACACCACTCTCAATTATAGAGTCACAGAGATGTCCAGCATGGAAACAGACCCTTTGGTCCAACAGCTCCATGCTGACCTGATATTCCAAATTAACCTAGTCCCATTTGCCAGCATTTGGCCCAAATCCCTCTGAACTCTTCCTATTCATATACTCTTCCAGGTGCCTTTTAAATGTTGTAATTATACCAGCCTCCTCCACTTCCTCTGGAAGTTCATTCCATACACAAACCACCCTCTGTGTGGAAAAAGTTGTCCGTTAGGTTCCTTTTTAAATCTTTCCCCTCTCACCTTAAACCTATGCCCTCTAGAGTTGGATTCCTCTACCTTAAGGAAAAGACCTTGAATTTTCACCCTATCCATGCTTGTTGTCATAACTAAAATATAGCCTTGGTTAGTTCAGTCGCATGGACAGCTGGTTTGTAATGCAAAGTGATGTCAACAGCATGGGTTCAACTCCTGAGATAACAAGGTGTAGAGCTGGATGAACACAGCAGGCCAAGCAGCATCATAGGAGCAGGAAGGCTGACGTTTCAGGCCTAGACCCTTCTTCAGAAATGGGGGAGGGGAAGGGGGTTCTGAAATAAATAGGGAGAGAGGGGGAGGCGGATAGAAGATGGATAGAGGAGAAGATAGGTGGAGAGGAGACAGACAGGTCAAAGAGGCGGGGATGGAGCCAGTAAAGGTGAGTGTAGGTGGGGAGGTAGGGAGGGGATAGGTCAGTCCAGGGAGGACGGACAGGTCAAGGGGGCGGTATGAGGTTAGTAGGTAGGAGATGGGGGTGCGGCTTGAGGTGGGAGGAGGGGATAGGTGGGAGGAAGGACAGGTGAGGGAGGCGGGGACGAGCTGGGCTGGTTTTGGGATGCGGTAGGGGGAGAGGAGATTTTGAAGCTTGTGAAGTCCACATTGATACCATTGGGCTGCAGGGTTCCCAAGGGGAATATGAGTTGCTGTTCCTGCAACCTTCAGGTAGCATCGTTGTGGCACTGCAGGAGGCCCAGGATGGACATGTCGTCTGAGGAGTGGGAGGGGGAGTTGAAATGGTTCGCGACTGGTTTGACTCCTGCACTGGCTAAGGTTACCATGAATCTCTCCTCGCCTGAGGCATGGTGATCCTCAGGTTAACCCACCACTAGTCATTTCTCACAGGAGACCATTCCTATGGTCTTGTAAGACTGTGACAAGTTTACCTTTGCCTTTAGTTTCTTCTAAAAGGAAATTAATTTTAAAACTGAACCATTCTAGATCCAATAATTTGCAAAACATAAGTGCTTATTTTTATAAAAGACAAAAATCACTATTGGTGAAGATAATGTTCCATCAGATTCAGATTTTTTCCTTTTAAACTAAATATCTGTAATCTCCATTTCTGTCCATATTCTATTGGCATGCACATTCAAGATTCTGATTAAAAGGCATTTTGTTTACTGCACAAACCTTCAGTCTATAGCAGTGCTGCTCTTCAACCATCTGGCAAGAATGTGCTGGGAGTATAGCTCAAGGTGGAGCCCTTGCTGATTTCTCTCTCTTTCTTTCTCTCTCTCTCTCTCTCTTCCCCACCTCCCTCCCCCTCCCCAACTCTATGATGTGCCTGATGATCTGGTCAAGATCAGTAATTCACCATCTGTGGGAAACTTGCATATATATATCACATAAGGCCTGAATTCAAATGCTCATCAATCACTTTATTGTGCAGGACCACTATTACATTATACTATTTTTCACCACATAAATCTGGGAAGAGATTAGAGGATTCCTTTATCTCCATTCAATTACCTAACTAAGGATAGAGCATATGATTGATCTCTAGATATCCAGGAAATACAGTTGCTGCAGAAGTATTTCAGCTTAGTAATACTATCTCATCATAATTGAGTAACATGACCTAAATCAGAATAAGTTTATAGTATTAGGAATTTTAAATAATAAAAGCTAAAAGTTTTCTGATCAGTTTTGAATGTGCTCTTGGATGGAGCAAAAGATTTTGTACAACACGTAACTCACCCAAATAGGACAGTTTGGTCCAACATCAAACTGAGTTAGTGCTGAAATATCTATGGTCATACTGATCTGTTTAAACAATTCAAAATCCAACTTAGTGATTTAAAAGTATCTACAGAACATGTTCAAAAATGTATTTTTCTACACATCTAATCAAAACATGCAATCTGAATACAACAGCTGCACAATACATGATAAGGGGGAGAAATACCTTTACAGCAATACACTTTAGGCACTATCTGGCTCCTAATGATAGAAAGTAGTATTTCAGATGCATACGCATACTTCTGTCAGAATCTTGTAAAAGTGTTTGCAGCAAATGATTAACAATTTCTGCCAATATGCTGAGCAACTCAGTATTGACACTATTTTCAAATACTGTGCTCCAATCTATGCTCTGTTTTAGCATGAAACCACTGAACACGATCAAATAAAATGA